CCCCAAAACCCCAAAACCCCTTCTAGATAAAGTTTATTAATTTAATTTGAAAATAATTAAAATTAATATAATTCAAAATCGATCAGATCTCTGGGTTGTGTGTAAGTCAACGTAGCTTTAACCAAGGTCGTTCTTAATTTTCTTAGCCCCTGATCTAGATTTACCGTTTCCAAATATATTTTTACCAAACATAAACAAAACAAGATTTTTCGTTAGCTTGAAAAGAGAGTAGCTTTTATGCATAAAATAGTTCTTACCTGAGTCATCATCCATCTACGTTTTAACTTAGAAGCAATGCTTGTAATTCCAGACATTATTAAGCTCCATTAGGGTCATTTACCGAGATATTGCTACAGTAAGAAAGAGGAAATCTTCTGCCATTTGGGCTTAAATTTGCAAAATTATGATTGTATGTAAAAACAGAATCTTTGAGTACTCATAAACTCTGTAAAGAGATTCAATACATTAAAGTAAAAAGCTGATTGATTCGCAGCTTGGTATAAAGCTGTTGGTAAGCATCATCATGTACAAGCAAATGAGAAATAAATTAAGTAAAAGGAAAGTGTAATAAGCTCTACAATTATCTTCGCCAATGCATCTGGCAAAAAATCTTGAATGCTTTTACCTATAATTAACACAAGAGTTGCATTATTTGCAGTGATCTGAATACTTATTTCTAATAATCAAACACTCATAGCAATACCTTTTGCTAAGCTCATCAATCTTATGGAATTAATGTTACTCCATCAAAAATAAAAGTTGCCCAACAAGATTCGAATCTCTATCTCGATTTAGATTTTTCTTTTCAATAAAACCTGAGCCAGATTTATAGACAACTAAGATATTTATGAACAATATTAGCAGAGTCATATGAAATATCATGATTAGCGAACTATTTGAAGCTGAGTTAGAAAAAAGCCAGTGAAACAAGTATAATGATACATAGAATACAATTAGTAGCAAGTAATTATAATTTCTGGAGAATTTATCTTTAAAATACTTCCAAATTTCTCGAATGAAAATTTTAGACCAACGAAAGTTATTTATTAAAGACTCAATATTCTCTTTAATGGAAATTTCATTAGAAAAGATAGACTCAATTAATAGTCTATTCTCGTATTTCAAATAGGTATCAAGTAGCTGCTATTCTTTCAGCATATATCTGTAAATATAGTCTTTTATGGAATCTCCTCTTTAATCCTTGAGAGTGATATTGCATCTATTTTGCATTAAAAACTTAAGCATATCATAACTTCTTGTATGAACTGTAAGGAAAATTGGAGTTTAGCCTTGATTATTAGTTCTATTAATATCAAAATACAAAGTATTATCTAAGACACTTGATTGATTTGATCTAGTAGAGATTGGCGATTTATCTCCCCCTGGATTCATATCAAGATTACTGTCTTCTTTTATTTAATCTTGATATATATGCTTTAAAAGTCTAGCTATATTGATAGAATTTTATCTCGCAGCTAAATGAAGCAGAGTTTGACCATTTAAATCAACATTTTTAAGATCACAGTTCTCTTTGAAATGTAAATACACAAAAGAAGCTTCATGATTACTGCTAACAGTATTCATAAGAGGAGTCATTAAAGCATTGTCCTTGGCATCTTTAATGCTTTCTGACTGTGAGCAGATATATAATACAGGGGCCAATTCTCCACTTACAGTAGCTACATGTAAAGGAGTCTAGCCTCTATAATCAATTGTATTAATATCAGTTTTGTAAATTTCGACAAGTGATTTAATTGGTTTTATCTTTCCAAAGTAGCATGCAAAATGAAGTAATTTAAGCCCCTAGTTAGGATCTATCACATCATCAGCTTTTATTATCTTCTTTTGTAGCAATAGCATTGAGGGAAGAAATGAGCCATCAAGAATTCTTTGCTTATAATTAACTATTTTTTCTCCCTCATCATTCACATCGTCTCTTTCATTTATATCATCTTCGTCGCTACTTTTGCTTTCCTCGTCAGACTCTTCCTCCTCTATTACTTTTTTAGATTTTTTCCTTTAGAATATTTGATGAGCATCATGAATTTAGTTTTATTGCTCCTGAATAACATCAAACTATTTAACATTCTAAGCAGCTAAAGCTTGACTATGCAATCCTATTTCATTTAGATTAAGCTTCTTCATATTCTATTTAACGAACTGAAGTTGATAATTTTCTACTATTTCAATTGATTTTTATCTTTTAACCTAAGTATCAGCCTCTTCTTCTTGTATATCATCATCTGTAGTCTAGGGTAGCTTTTAAGTTCTGTTAGTCATTTCAGGTTCATCTACATCGTCCATTGTGATGTTATCTGAAGCATCTAGAATTTCAAAGTCTTGATAATTTTTCTCCATTTTGAATTTATAATCAAGCTATTCTCTATTATTTATTGCATTCTCTCATTTAGGGGTTTTGGGGTTTTGGGG